GTTTCGCTCATGTTACCCAGGCTGGAGTGCAATGGCGCGATCTCGGCTCACCGCAACCTCCGCCTCCTGGGTTCAGGCAATTCTCCTGCCTCAGCCTCCTGAGTAGCTGGGATTACAGGCACGCGCCACCATGCCCAGCTAATGTTTTGTATTTTTAGTAGAGACGGGGTTTCACCATGTTGACCAGGATGGTCTCGATCTCTTGACCTCGTGATCCACCCGCCTCGGCCTCCCAAAGTGCTGGGATTACAGGCTTGAGCCACCGCGCCCGGCCTTTTTTTTTTTTTTTTTTTTTTTTTTTTAAATGGTGGGGTCTGCTCTGTTGCCCAGGCTGGAGTGCAGTGACATGATCAGGGCTCATGGCAGCCTCACCCTCCTAGGCTCAAGCCGTCTTCCTATTTCCACCTCCCAAGTAGCTGGGACTACAGGCAAGCACCACTATACCTGACTAATTTTTAAAAAAATTTGTAGAGGTTGGGTGCAATGGTTCACGCCTATAATCCCAGCACTTTGGGAGGCTGCGGTGGGCAGATCACTTGAGGTCACGAGTTGGAGACCAGCCTGGACAACATGGTAAAACCCCATCTCTACTCAAAATACAAAAAATTAGCCAGGCGTGCTAGTAGTCCCAGCTACTTAGGAGGCGGAGGCAGGAGACTTGCTTGAACCTGGGAGGCAGAGGTTGCAGTGAGCTGAGATTGCGCCACTGCACTCCAGCCTGGGCGACAGAGTGAGACCACCTCAAAAAACAAAAATAATTTGTTTGTAGAAATGGGGTCTCACTATGCTGCCCAGGCTGGTCTTGAACTCCTGGCCTCAAGCAATCCTCCTGCCTTGACCTCCCAAAGCACTGGGATGACAGGGACTGCACCCGGCCCTGGTTATAATCTCCAAAGTCAAGTGTAGACGCCCAAAAAGGGAAATCTGGACATCCCTCCCCGGAAGCTCCCAGTAAGAACAGGAACCCCAGGCCAGGCTTGGCCAGTGAAAGGTCATCCTCCAGCCTTGCCCTATCTCCCTGGCCTCTCTCCGAGGCCCATGACTTGAGCAACACCCACCCCCAAGCTTCGGGCTTGGGCCTTAGAGTCCCTACTACGCAGGAGCAGGAAGTCACTGAGGATGAGGAGAGGCCACGGGTGTGGTGGAAGTAGGGGTCCGGGGGGGCCCAGGGCCAGAACGTACCAGCTGCCGCTCTGTGAGGGCGTTGGCATTATCCAGGTACTTTTCCAGGGCCAAGCAGGCTGAGATGAGGTCAGGGCTTAGCTCCATCCTGCCAGGAACAGACAAGCAGGGAACTAAGTAACCCCCAGCCCCCTGCGTTCTCCCTCCAAATCCTCGGATCCCACTCTGGTGTCTGGGAAGGGACTGACATTCTGCACCATGTCACCCACACTAGGGTCACCTGAATGGTGGCATCTCAGACCCTCCTTCACCTGGAACACACATTTACATTGCACCCCAAAAGGCAGATGTGGGGAACACACAGACCCCCAAGGGAGAATGGACACACAAGACAAAGTTTATTCTAAATGCCCGTTGGCAGATGGAAAATATTTCCCAAGGGCAAAGTTTTTCACCAGGGAAATAAAAAAGAGACATAAACAGAACAGGCAGATAGAGGGAACATCCCAAAGTAGGTGGGTAACTTCAGGATAAACTTTGGCTGGCCCCCTAAATCCTAACCCCGGCAGTCCAAAATACTTCCACCAGGGCCTTTAGCAAAGCCTCCAGAACTTCAGATGCCCAGAAGGAGCAAGTGATTGATTGCTAATTCAGACTAAAGTGAGTATGACTGATAGGAGGGTCCTTCAAAGGGCTTGAATGGTGGGGTTTGAGGTAGAGGTCATCCACCTCCGGCCCTGCTTGAATCCCTCCCACCCACAAAACTGACCTGATCTCCTCCTCCGTGTTTGACCCTGACGCCCCCTCTGCTGTGGGTATGTGCTGAGATTCTCGAGACAGTGGGCACTCCTGCCGACTGGTCTTGGCCACTGCCGTCCCTGCAGGCGTGAGCTGGGGGGCTTCGGCCACACTCAGAACCCTCTCCCCCGGCTCTGGGGCCTCGTTCTCTGTGCTCTCATTGTCTGAGATGTTCTCTGTTGTGCTGGAGTCCTCGGATGACGACTCATACCTGGGGAGGAACGAGCAGGGCGGGGGAGACGCTGCAGATGGGATGACAAATGGCGGGAAAGGAAGGCAAGGATCTGGCTACCTGACCTCTGTGGGCGTCAGCTTCCCCTTCTGTTCAATGGCAGGATTGGCATTTCAGGGCTGTGGGGATGTGGTCTACAGCAACGGGAACACAGTAAGTGCTCAGGGAACATTAGCAGTGGTTGAGAGCATGCTTGGGGTGAGGCGCACTGCTTTTTACTTGCTGCTCTTTGACATTTCTAGCACACCACCCCCTGCTTTTTTTTTTTTGAGATGGAGTCTCAGTCTGTTGCCCAGGCTGGAGTCCAGTGGCGCGATCTTGGCTCACTGCAACCTCCATCTCCCGGGTTCAAGCAATTCTCCTGCTTTAGCCTCCTGGGTAGCTGGGATTACAGGTGCCCACCACCATGTACAGCTAATGTTTTTATTTTATTTTATTTTATTTTTTAAGACGGGGTTTCACCGTGTTAGTCAGGCTGGTCTTGAACTCCCGACCTCAGGTGATCCGCCCGCCTTGGCCTCCAAAGTGCTTGGATTACAGGCGTGAGCCACCGTGCCCGGCCATGTTTTTATTTTTAATAGAGACAGGGTTTCATTATTTGGTCAGGCTGGTCTCAAACTCCTGACCTCAAGTGATCCACCCACCTCAGCCTCCCAGAGTGCTGAGATTACAGGCATGAGCCACGACGCCCACCCCAGTCTTTTTAAGATCATGTCCGACTCTGTTGCCCAGGCTGGAGTGCAGTGGTGCAATCTCGGCTCACTGCAGCCTCTGCCTCCTGGGTTAAACGATTCTCCTTCCTCAGCCTCCCAAGTAGCTGGAACTGTGCCCACCACACCCAGCTATATTTTGTATTTTTAGTAGAGACAGGGTTTCATGATGTTGGCCAGGCTGGTCTTAAACTCCTGAGCTCAAGTGATCCGGCTGCCTCGGCCTCCCAAAGTGCTGGGTTTACAGGTGTGAGCCATCGTGCCCGGTCCCTCTAGCCCTTTTAACACAGGTGATTCACACTCTCATCCCACCGCAAACAGGGATCTCTCGTGTTTCTTGCTGCCTCTGGACAAAACCTAATCAAGTTTCTAGGCTCGGCATTCAAGGCCCCAAACCAACCATCACTCCCTGCACCTCCTGGTTCTCATGTCACTCTGCTTTCCTGCCTCTGAGCCTTTACCCACACTGTGCCTCTGCCAGGAGAGCCCTCCTCATGCCCGCTCTTTGCCTTGCTGGCTTTGACTTCTCCTGCAGCACCTGCATCTCCTCCTTCTGGAACCCCCCTAGGGCCACCTGTGTCTTTCTTGAGGCCCCCATACCATCTGAGTGTCGTCCCCCTCACGGCTCCAACCACAACCTGATAAGTGGCTCCAACTACCCATCAGTGCCCAGCTCCCCGCTGGACCAGGAGCTCTATCAGGGCAGGAAGTGGAGTCGGGCACCTTCCATGGGGTAGCGCAGTGCAGTGCTTACACCCTGAGGAGTTGAGCCCAGCCACCCGGGGCTGACTCCTGGGACACCGAGTGAGCTCTGCAACGCGCTCAGCCTCCTCATTCCTCACTTTCCTCATCTCTCCATTGTGGTTTGATTAAATGAATGAACCAAAGCAAGCGGCTCGGAACGAGGACATTAGGAGGCTCTTGTGTGTGGATGAATGGAGGAAGGGGCGGGACGTGTGGAGTCGGGGAGGGACTTCTCCTCTCACCCGCCATTGACCCCCACGAACTGGAGGCTCCTCTGGTGGGTCGTGGGGTCTGCAATCTCCTCTTTCTGTTTCCTGATAGATTGCACGCCTGCCGGAGGCCCGCCTGGAGGGGAGGACAGAAGCGGTGTTGTGAGAATCCTTCAAGGCCAGACTCCGAGTTGAAGTCATTCAGGTGCCCCATCCCTCTTGGCGGCCACGCCCCACTTACCAGGGCCCCTGGCCTCCTCAGACTCTCGGGAGGCTGCTTGCCTGGTGGGCTCCCTGTGGGTGGTGTCCTGGGTAGGCACCCAGCCTGGGGTCTTCTCAGGCTCTGTCAGGGAGGTTACCTCGGACCCTGGGGGTGACGAGGATGATTCAGCAGGAACTTGTGGGAGGCCTGGAGGGACAGGAAATGAGGTGTCTGCTAAAAGCCAAACAACCACACTGCGGGTCACACACCCCAGGCCAGGTGCTGTCCAGGGCTGATTTTCGTGTTATCACATCCAGTCTTCCTGGACCTCAGAGGGAAGTTGGATTATTATGAATGAGGAAACTGAGGCACAGAGCTGCCAAGGTCACCCCTTGAGCAGGTGGCAGAATCTACTTCCAACCGCGGTTTGGTGCCTGCCCAGCAGCTAGTCAGGGACAGGGACAAACCTGTGGATATTCCTGGCTTCAGCCTGAGTGAGCTCTAAACGTAAGCTCTGGCCCGGCGCGGTGGCTCACGCCTGTCATCGCAGCAATTTGGAAGACCAAGGCGGGTGGATCACCTGAGATCAGTAGTTCCAGACCAGCCTGGCCAACATGGCGAAACCCTGTTTCTACTAAAAATATAAAAATTAGCTGGGCATGGTGGCGAACACCTATAGTCCCAGCTACCCGGGAGGCTGAGGCAGGAGAATTACTTGAACCCGGGAGGTGGAGGTTGCAGTGAGCAGAGATCACGCCACTGCAATTCAGCCTGGCAACAGAGCAAGACCCTGCCTCTTTAAAAAAAATCAGATGGGCCGGGAGTGGTGGTTCACGCCTGTAATCCAAGCACTTTGGAGGCCAAGGCGGGCGGATCACCTGAGGTTGGGAGTTCAAGACTAGCCTGACCAACATGGTGAAACCCTGTCTTTAAAAAAAAATTTTTTTTTAAATCAGATAAAAACATGCCTTGGCAGCCAGGCTCATGCCTGTGATCCCAGCACTTTTGGAGGCCATGGTGGGCAGATCACAAGGTCAGAAGTTCAAGACCAGCCTAGCCTTCATGGTGAAATGCTATCTCTACTAAAAATGCAAAAATTAGCTGGGCGTGGTGGTGGGCATTTGTAATTTCAGTGACTCAGGAGGCTGAGGCGTGAGATTCCCTTGAACCTGGGAGGTGGAGGTTGCAGTGAGTCGAGATCATGCCACTGCACTTCATCCAGCCTGGGGGATACAGCAAGACTCTGTCTCTAATAAAAAAAAAAAAAAAAAAAAAAAAAGAAAAGAAATCCTGGGGAAGCCATAAAATGAGGTGGAGCAACATTATGCTAAGTGAAAGAAGCCAGATGCAAAAAGAGAGAAAAACATTGCATGATTCCATTCACACGAGGTCCCTCGAGTTGTCAAGATTTATTATCATTATTATTTGCTACAGACTCTCACTCCATCGATCAGGCTGGAGTGCAGTGGTGTGATCTCGGCTCACTGCAACCTCTGCCTCCTGGGTTCAAGTGACTCTTCTGCCTCAGCCTCCTGAATAGCTGGAATTTTAGGTGCCCACCACACAAAATAAACTTTGTATTTTTAGTAGAGACAGGGTTTTACCACGTTGGCCAGGCTGATCTTGAACTCCTCACCTCAGGTGATCTGCCCGCCTCAGCCTCCTAAAGTGCTGGGGTTACAGGTGTGAGCCACTGCGCCGGGCCCTAGAGTGGTCAGATTTAAACACACAGAAAATAGAACAGTGGGTGCCAGGGACTGGGGAAGGGGAATGGGAAGTGAGTGTTTAAGGGGGCCAGAGTTTCAGTTTTAAGTTCTAAAGATGGATGGTGGTGGCAGTTGCGCAATAGTGTGAATGGGCCAGATGTGGTGGCTCACACCTATAATCCCAGCACTTTGGGAGGCTCAGGTGGAAGGATCACTTGAGCCCAGGAGTGTGAGACCAGCTTGGGCAACAAAGGGAGGTCCTGTTCCTAAAAAACATATGAAAAACAAAACAAAACAAAATGACGCAAATGTACTTAATGCCACTGAATGATATATTCAAAAATGGCTAACAGGGTAAGTTGTTTTTTTTTTTTTTGGAGATGGAGTCTTGCTTTACTGCCCAGGCTGGAATGCAACGGCGCGATCTCGGCTCACTGCAACCTCAGCCTCCTGAGTTCGAGCAATTCTCCTGCCTCAGCCTCCAGAGTAGGTGGGATTACAGGTGTGTGCCACCACACCAGGCTAATTTTGTATTTTTAGTAGAGATGGGGTTTTACCATGTTGGCCAGACTGGTCTTGAACTCCTCACTTCCAGTGATCCACCCGCCTCAGCCTCCCAAAGTGTTGGGATTACAGGCGTGAGCCACCACCCCCGGCCAGATGGTAAATTTTATGTTGTATGTATGTTACCACAATAGTTTAAAAAGTGAAAAAATTTGAGAAGCTGAGGCAGGAGGATCACTTGAGGCTAGGAGTTCAAGACCAGCCTAGGCAACATAGCAAGGCTCCACCTCTACAAAAAATTTACAAATTAGCCAGGTGTAGTGGAGTGTGCCTACAGCTACTTGGGACTATACATGGCTGAGAGGAGAGGATCACTTAAGCTCGAGAGTTTGAGGTTACACTGAGCTGTAACACTGCCGTACTCCAGCCTGGGTGACTGAGTGAAACCTGTTTTTTTTTTTTTTTTTTTTTTTTTTTTTTTTTTTTTTT